GTGCTAGGCAAAAAATATGGAAAAGTTGGAAAAATCCCAAAAGAGGATTGATACTGGAGCTGCCAGTTCTTGACGATATGTCTGTCTTTTCAAGTTCATCTGACTCCCTGTGAAGACAATACAGAGCCAAAGCCTTCTGCTGTCCAAGGCTAGCTATGATTTTTGGTTTAGTTTTTCATGCTAGTTGCTTTTTGAGGCTGTTGGCAGATCACTGGCATGCAGCTGGGTTCTCCAAACAGCTGTCAGGGTCATGGAAACCTCTGTGCTGTTTTGGTCATGAGTGGTTCTGCAAGTGACAAGAAATCCCACCTTCATTAACACTTCATCTCTCTCAGTACAGGTTTGTACAGGCAGAGGGTTTGTTTGAGAAATAGAATTTTATTTCAGGCAGCTGATTACAGGCTGCTGGGATCAGTGTTCCTGGACATTGCTGGGGCAGAGGAAGGCCAGCAGGAGACCTTGGTGGGTACAGGATTTTCTGTGCTGGCTTCTCAGACAGCTCAAGGCTTTGGGTTTTCTTACATGGATTAAGTGGTTCCACACAGTCTCTCTGGTGTGGTGCTCTATAAACCAAGAGATGCAGCAGGTAGAGAGATGTGTTTGCCTAACTGATGCACAGGAATTGCAGTGATTTTGGTAGAGGAGGGGAGGTGCAGGACCTCAGGATGGAGCTCACTGATGCAGGTGGTGTCTGTTGTACAGGAGATATTTTTCCTGCTGGCTCCAAGCCAACTGTGCCTCACAGACTTGAGTGCTGGAGTACTCCTGTGCTTTCCTGGCCCAGTGGGAAGCAGAAAGAAAAGATAACTCAAGGTCCATTACTCCATAAAAGCATCCAGGCTCCATAAACACAGTCTCTTCAGGAATCAACATCCCTTCACTGTAAGCACCTGCCAGATTGTACCAGTGTAGGTGGATGGAGCCGCAGTACAGGGCTTGCTGAGTTTGGGCAGAGCAGGGCTGATCCCCTTCTTCCATTGCTGCTGGATGACTCTGGGGCATTAATGAGGAGCCAGAAAACACAATGTGTGACTGAGCTTTTTTCTCTGACTTGATGTTTGATGACCACCCTGTTGTGTGCTGCATGTGAGCCCACTGCTCACTCACTGAGGCCAGACTGAGTGCCTGGGCTCTGTGGGGCCAGCCTGGAGCAGGGCTCTGTGTAACCTCTCCTGCTCTGTCTGTGTGTGGGGCCAGGCTGGAGCAGGCTCTGTGTAACCTCTCCTGCTCTGTCTGTGTATGGGGCCAGACTGGAGCAGGCTCTGTGTAACCTCTCCTGCTCTCCTTGTGTGTGGGGCCAGGCTGGAGCAGGGCTCTGTGTAACCTCTGTGTAACCTCTCCTGCTCTTTGATTCCAGGCCCAAGAGTGAGTACTCGGAGATCGACGATGAGGATGCTCAGGCTCCCTACGACCCCAATGGGAAGCCAGAGAGGTGGGAGCTGAAGGCATTGCTGCAGCTGGGAGAGGGGATGACTGGCTGGGAGCATCTCATGGGCTTTCATTAATAAAGAGTGTCTACACTGTGCTGAAATTGCCAGCCCAGGGAGCTGACATTCCCTGAAAAGCAGGGCAGGAGTTGGTTTTAAGTGGTGATATACCTGGATGTGGCAGGTTTTCCCCTCTGGGAGATCCTAGACAGTTCTCCTGAGTTCATGTTGCCAGGGAGGGCGGTGCACACTCACTGAGGTGTGAGGCCTGCAGGGGAAACACCCTGGCTTAAGGTGTTCATTCACCTGTGTGTGTCTCATGCTCTGATTGCTGGTGTTATTTGCTCTGCAAAAGTGCCTCAGCCAGCCTTAGTCCCTGGCTTGTGATGCTGGCTCACAGGTCACAGTGCTGAACAGAAATCAATCTCAGAAGTGCTCTTGCAGCCTGTGAAGTTGTGAGTGTTGGTGTGAGGGTTCTAGTGGGGCAGCACTGGCTGTTGCCTGCTTGGGAGGTGAATGATGATGATGATGATGATGAGATGGTTGCGATTGCAGGCAGATCTCCCTGCTGTGGGTGTGGATGGGCTGGAATGATGTGCAGTCTGGGTTTGCACCTCCTTGCAGAGGTGGTGTTGACTTAACCCCTGCCTTGTAACCTCAGGTTTTATTACAACGTGGAGTCCTGTGGCTCCCTGCGCCCCGAGACCATCGTCCTGTCTGCCCTGTCCGGCCTCAAGAAGAAACTGAGTGACCTCCAGACACAGCTGAGCCACGAGATCCAGAGTGATGTCCTCACTATCAACTGAGGTGGCCCTGGCAAGAGAGTGCTGTGAGTGATGTCTGGCTGAGATCTGGGGAGAGGCTTTTACCTCCCCATCATCTCCTTCTGCCTTTCCTGGCCCAGCAGTTGGTTGGTGACACCTCTTCCCTGGCCCTCCTTCCTAGGGAAAGTCATTGTGGTGTTTAGGGTAGAACAGGAGGGGAATCAGTCAGTGAGCATCTTAGCCAGGACAGGCTTTATCTCCAAATGATCCTGGATTTTGGTTCTGGTGTTGGATTTTGGCCATGTGGTGTTTGGGATGGGGAAGTGTGTACCTTTGTTACACAACCCTACTTTATTTACATGTCCATTCTTTACTGTGCTGAATAAAGCCTTACCCCCAAATTTTTCTGTTATCCCTGAAAGCTCATTCAAAGCTGCTGGAGGAGATGTCACATCATTTACTTCTCTCCAATAGACATTAACTTAATGAGATCTGCTTTGGAGGGAGCATTGCTCGCTGATGCTGATTGCTGCTTGTGACATTATCTCCTGAGGAGAGCAGCACCCTCCTGCAGGCAGCCTGTGGTTCATTGATCCAGGGCTGTGTGTAAAGCACATGTTTGAGGCTGGGGTGGGCGAGAGCTGCAGAAGGCAGCACTGCAGGGGAGCCCAGCTGGGCCAGGCAGGCAGAGCTGTACTTACAGAATCCTCTGGAACAGACTCCACCCCTGTGCTGTAGAACCCTTTTCTGAGGAGCTGGGTGGCACATGGGCTGTCAGTAATGGCCCCTGGCTGATACCTTTCTTTGTGCCCACAGCCCCCAGTGTGTGTTGGGCTGGAGTTTGGTGCAGGTCCCATGCCCTGACCCCACTGGCAGTGGCTGAAAGCAATGGCCTTTGTCACCCCTCCTCTTCCCCTTCATCACTGCCCACCATGACTTGGGATGAGCTTCTTGGTGACACTTTCTGGAGAGACCTGCAGCTGGGAGGGCGGGGAAGGCCTGTGTGGCCCCATGCTCATCCTGGTATGGATGGGGATGGTTCAGGGGGTGGTGCTAGGGTCCCACTGAGCTGGGGAGAGCAGCCCATACCAGCATTGCCTTCCCCTTCCAGGAAAAAGCTGCTGCAGCCAGGCTGCTGCTTCCATTTCCTTGCCATGGCAGAGCTGGCTGCAGCATGGCTCCCCGTGTCCCCATCCCTGCAGGGATCACTCTGCTGGCTGGCATGGCTGTCTTACCTTGAGGCCAGTGCAGTCATGGCATGGATAGCTTACCTGGCACAGCTCTGGGAGAGCTGGGAGATGGTGTGTCTTGAAACTCCTTCACCTGGGGACTTGGAGCCACCACTGGCCTGGCACATCCCCAGAGCCACGGGCAGCTGGAGGTGAGGGTGACGGGGGTGCTGGCATCCTGTCCCACTCAGGGTTGTTTGATGGAGAGTGGCAACTCCCTTTACCCTTCTTCCTATTCCAGTGGTTTTAGGGCTTCACTTGAAATGTCTTGGCCATAGCTGGAGGCAGAACAAAGCCCTGAGCCAAGCATGCTGCCAGGAACCTCAGGAAATCTCCCCCATCAGCATTTTTCTCTCTGGCAGGCACAACTCCCACTCGCGCTTCCCGAGCGCGCTTGGATGGAACAGACAAACAGGAAGGGTGGATGTGGATAAGGGTTGTTTATTCATTGAGCAACTCCTTAAAAAACAGAAAACCCAAACGTTTTTGGTAACAAATGTTAAATCTTTTCCAGATGAGGTGTGTAGCCAGGAAAAGAGGGCAAGTTCCACCTCTCACCCCAGGGAGGACACGCTGCTGGGCAGTGCTAGGGTCCAGAGCCCCTCTGTGCACAGCCATGCTGCAAGGAGCAACCTTTCTCTGTCCCCATGTCCCCTCTGCCACAAGCTACACCACCCTGAAACACAGTATTTACAGACCACAGATTCCCACATCACAACACTCCCTGTGCCCAACACATGGACCTGGAGCTTTAAAGGGCAGAAATAAAAACCACCAAGCATCCAACCCAGACGGAAAGAAGACTCCAAAGAAACACCAAGGTTTGCACGGCAATAAAAAGATAGCCCTTCTAAAGGAGGTCAATAAATAGGAGAACTAGAAAAAATCAATTGCTTTTTAAGTTCAGCACATAAAGCCCAGTTCCACCCCCAGTGGGTAAGGAGGAAGTGAGGGCTGTGGGAATGCACAGAGGAATGTGGCTCTCTCCCCATCAGCATGGGTTTCTCTGCCCTGGGGCTTCTCATATCCACAAAGCTGCCCCTTGAGAGACAGATGCTACTGGCCAAAACCAGTCCCATGGTTGCCCACCAGCAGATAAACCAGGGGCATGGCAGGGGGACACAGCTGTGGGAGGAGTGAGGGGTGTTGGGGTGGGAGAAGCCAGGGAGCTTGGCTCTGCCTGGCCGCTCACCCCAGCCAACCCCGCTGGAAGGAAAACCAGTTTCTCCTGAGACATATCAATTCTACAGCGAGCATTTAAATAGCTTGAAGAAGTGCAAAAATCAGCTCAGGGAAGGCAGGGTGTCCTCAGAAGCACCCTGCTCTTCATGGAGGGGTGGGACCCTGCACCGTCAGCCTGACACAGCTGCATCCTCCGACGCTGCTCCATGGCCACGGCAGAGTGATGCTCCAGCCTTCCTGCCATGCAGAAAACTCCAAATTTCTTGACTCTCCCCCGCCCCACCTCTCTTCACCTCCCAGTTGGATCCCCAAGAGTCAAAAACCTCTGGGCATCTGCCCAAGGGCTCTTCAGCAGCCACCACATTTGCATTCATGTGAGAAGGAAATATCTCTTACAATACGGGTATTCAATATATATTTGAAGTCAGTTGAGGCTGAGCCAGCCATCGCCTCCACTAACGCCAGCCCAGGGCGTGAGCCAGTGCCTGCTTCCCAAGGCCTTGGCACCGAGCTGCCCCAGCTCGGGCTCCTGGGATTCTGAGGGGTCACTGCCTGCATCCTCGCCACCCCTTGGAGAAGAAAAAGGGGACCCCTGCCACAGTCCCCCCACACCAGCTCATGGGGACGATGTGGGCTCCCTGTCTTCAGGCTTGTCGCTTTTGGAGGACTTTGGCTTCAGCAAGATGAACCTGTTGAGGAGGTCGGTGTCCGAGCTGGCCTGGGCGCCTGCATACGCCTCCCCTGGGGACAAAACAGAGGCTGGGCTCACCTGATGGGGAAAGCTCTGGGGGCTGGAGGAGCAGCATCTCCTCAGTGTGGGGTGGGGACACTCACCAGCATAGCTGGAGGACTCAGCCATGTTCTGGGAGCCGGTGATGTGGTGCCAGTAGGCGCTGCGGGGCAGCATGGTCGTGGGCGTGCAGGGGTAGGAGAAGTGCTCAGTGCCCTTGTTCAGCAGCTGCAGTGGATGGGGGGGAGGAGGGTGATACAGGGCCCCCAGAATCTCCCCCAGCCCTGCCCCCCCTCAGCATGGGCTGGAGCTCACCCTGACGTTCTTCTCCATCTCCAGCAGGACCCTCTTGTGCTGCTCAGCAATGGCCAATGTGGCGCTGTGCACACGCTGGTAGATCTGCTCACCCTCCTGCGTCTGGAAGGTGTAGAGACCTTCTCCTGCATCACACATCCTGTGGGGACAGGGCACAGGATGTCACCAAGGTCTTCAAGCCAAGGCATGATGAACAAAACCCACCCAGATGACAGCTGGGGCAGCTTCCCATACTGTTAGAGCTGTGCCTAGGTCCCCTTCACGGCGCTGATCTGGGACCAGAACCAGCTCCAAGCCCTGCCTGCCATGGGCACACTGTACAGCCATGGGCATCGCCCCAGCCTCAAGCCTGCCCTGTGGTCAGGTTCTGAGGTCAGTGCCACTGCCCAGCTGGAGGAGGGCACAGAGCTGTGATCCTGTCCTGGCGAGGGTGACATCTCACCGTCCGGCCTCGAAGGTGAAGCGGGTGGCGTCGCGGCCGTAGCGGCGCAGGGAGCAGAGGGGCCAGGAGAGCAGCTTCACCCGGGGGTTGTGCGTGTCCCAGAGGTAGATGTTTTCGTGGGTGATCTGCAGCTTGCACTCGCCATAGACGTCCAGGTTGGGGCAGGGGAGGAGGAACACGTTGAACCGGTCTGGAAAGGGAAAAAAAAAAAAAAAAAGAAAATAAAATAATCAGCGGGGGGTGCAGCAAGGCGGAGCCCCGGGCGAGCACTCCCCGCCGCGCTCACCCGTCTGCTCGCACTGCACACCGGGCGCCAGCAGGTCGGGCTCCCCCAGGCTGATGTCGTTCAGGCGGGCGCCCAGGCACTCCACCGACAGCGTCTTGTACCACTCCTCCGCCTCCAGCTCTGCAAGGCACCACGGCAGCCCCTGGGCGACCCTGGCCACGCCGGGCTGCCCCACCCAGCACCCTCGGCCTGGCTCCCCTGGGCGCTGCCCCGTACCTGAGTCGCAGGTGAAGGTCCGGGCGGAGTCGTCGGTAAAAACGATGGCCACCGCCTGTCTCTTGGTCTCCTTGGGCAGCCGCGTGATGCACTTGACGTTGCTGATCTCGGTGACCTGCAGAGGAGCTGGGGGGTCACCCAGGGCTGCTCCCAGCCCCTGTTCCCTGATGCACGCAGACCCTGACACCTGCAGCACCCAGACCCAGCTGCATCCCCCTCCGGAGCGAGTTCAGGCAAGGAAGGAGCTGCTGTGGTCGGGTCCCCGAGCAGCGGGCAGCACCCCAGCACCCCTCCTGCGCACCCCCTCACCTTGGGGCACCCCCGCAGGCACGCTGACTTCTCATCCGGGTACTTCTCCAGGCGCTGGGGCCCTTTGCTGGAGGATTTGCGGAAGACCAGCCAGCAGCGCCGGTAGATCTGCCGGACAGAGAGCGCGGCGGCTGCTCGGTGCCACAGGGGCTCCCTGTCCCCACCACAGCCCCCTGTCCCCATCCCCAGGCCCCGTGCCTGGTTCTGCTGACCCTGCTGGCCTGGGGACAGGAGGGGATGCTGGGGATAGGGCTGTGCCGGGGCTGCCATCATCTGCCCCCACCCCCCGCCAGTGCTGATTACAGAGCTTAATTAATGAACACGGACAAAGCTCCCAAGGGGACCGCTGTTCTGGCATTTCCCCGTCCCCTCTCCTACATCCCCTGCCTCTGAGGGTGGTGGGGCCACCGTCCCCAGGCATGTCCCCCTCCCTGGATCCCGCTCCCTCTTTGTTCTCCCTAATTAGCATGAAATTACCCAGCATGCTCGTTGCTGCGGCTCCCAACCATGGAGATGGGATCAAACCCCCTGACCCCCCACCTGTGGGTGCTGCACTCCCACACCACCCTAATTCGCACCCAGCAGCTCCAACCCCTCCCGGTGCGCGGCATCCCCGATGCTAAACTGTGTGTGCAGGGAAACTGAGGCACGGGGGGAAGGGAGGGCTCGCAGACATTCCCCAAACCCCGGGTGACCTGGGACAGGTGAACGGGTGTTGCTCGGTGCAGGATTCGGCCGGTGCAGATGCTGGACCCCTGGGGCTGCTGGGTGATTTGGGTACCAACAAGTGGCCCGTCCCTGCCATCCCCCACTCCTCTGCCACCACAGCCCCAAAAGGCTGCTGATTCAACCCCAGAACAGGGGCACAGGAAGCCACAAGAGGGACCTGTCCATCTCACCTCAGTGGGAAACCAGCACCCCAAATCCATGGGTGTTCCCCCCCACATCTCCCCATTCCCCAAGATCCCCACTCACCCCCAGCTTCTTGCTCTTCATCCTCACATAGCCCTGCTTGATGATGTCGTTAAAATTCGTCGCCATGGCGATGGCTCGATAGGGTAGGGGATATTTTGGGAGGGGGGGGCTGCCTTCACCTTCGCCCCCCCCTCTCCATCCTCTTCCTCCCTACCCCTCCTGTCTCACCACCGGCCCAGCTTGGTGCTAGCAGTGTCCCCCATGCTGGCTGGAAAAGAGAAATGACAGATCGACGGGTGACATCTTCCTCGTCCTCCTCCCCCTCCTCCTTGTCGTCCTCCTCCTCCTCCTCCTTCCCCTCCTCCTCCTCCTCTTCCTCCTCCCTTCTCTGCCTGAACCATCCGAGTGGAACAGTCCGGTGATATTAACCCCTGCCAGCACGGCGGAGCCAGGGTGGCACAGACAGGCGGTCAGTCCCCTGCCGCCAGCTCCAACATGTGTCCGAGGGACACCCGCACCACACCTCGCCCGCAGGTCTCCATCACCTCTCGCACTCCCCTCCTTCCTCCCAGGCTGCTCGCTCGGGCAGGAACACGGCCCCGGCCCCTGGGCACGGCTGGGTTCGGTGGGAGCGGCCAGGCCGGCTCTGCTCTGGGCTGTTTCGCCCGGCACCGGGGGCCGGAGGGACCCCGGCTTCCAACCTCGCCCCCCGGTGTCACCCAGCCCCTGTCCAGCCCTCCCGAGAGCTCGGCCTCGCTCAGCCCGATCCCTGCTGCTCCCCCAGCCCCCACCGGCGGGACCAGGTGGGGACCAGGTTCCTTTGCCAGGTGGAGCAGTCCCAGGTGGAGGCAGCAACCCAGGAAACAGAGCAGGGCCATCCCCGGGGATGCTCCTCCATGCCAGCGACACCCGGGTCCCCAGAGCCCAGCAGGGGGATCGGGCTGGGACAGCGCCTTGGGGACCGCCCGCTGTCCGAGAGTGGCAGCGCTCCTGTGGGGGAACATCCCCCGTTCCCCCATTCCCCCATTCCCCATCGCCATCACCACCCACGGACACCAACACCCCCAGGGAACCCAGAGCTGCTGGGGGGCACCTCCCGGCCCCTGCCCCGGACCTGTCACCCCCACACCCGGCGCCCCCCGGCCCCCATCTCCCATCACACCCGGTCTCCCACCGGGACGTCCCTCCGGGCGTTGTCACCTCCCGGCCGTTTGCCCCCGACGCTTGTCAGCCCAAACCTCGCTCCAGCCCCGTCCGGTGTCACCCGCTCCCCCGCCGGTCCCGCCGCCTTACCGGGCTCCCGGTGCGAGCGGACCCGGCGGAGCCTCCGCGTCCTGCGAGCCCCGGAGCCGCTCGGCCCCGCCCGGCCCCGCCCCGGTCCCCGCCCCGCCCCGGTCCCCTCCCTCCACCCCCGGGCTGCCCAACCAGAGCCACAACCGGCCGCCCTGGAAAGAAAATTCCATCATTCGGCTTTGGAGGGAACACCCCGCAGCGACTGACGGGCGGCAGCAGCAGCAGCCTCTGGTCCGTCCCTCGGCTCAGGTGTCACCGCATCCCCGCTCCGCGCCCCCAAACTGCGCCCAGGCACCCCCACCCCCGCGGCCTCACTTGCTGGGCAGTAAAAATATGAATAATCGCTGCAAATAAAAGGGCATTAAAAAAACCCCATGAGCAGCAAAGAGCTGCGCTTTTAGCCAATCAATTAAAAGGCAGAGCGAGGGGATTAGCTCACCGAAATATTAATTTTTAATAAGGTTGTGTCTGAGCGCCTCCAAAGCCCCCAAGGCCCTGTGCTGGGGGGCTGGGTTGAAGGGGCTGTGCTGGGGTGAGCAGCACCCTCAGGTGAGCACCTCTGCACCCCTGGGTCAGCACCTGGGCACCTCCCCAGGTGAGCAGCCCTGGGTGAGCCCCTTTCACTGCACAGGCCCAGGGACAGGCTTTACCCCACACTGGGCTGCAATCCAGGCATGGGGACAGGGATGCCAGTGGGTGACATCCAGGCCCGTGTGTGGCTGGTGAAGAAATGCTGATTATCCCTGATGTGTCCCCCACCCACCCTCGCTCCTGTGTGGGGACAGACCAGCAGCTCACACCACCATCAGAGCCTGGGGCCCATCTGGGCTCTGTATTTATAATAAAAAAATCATATACAAATACATACATATATATAATATATATAAAAAGAAGTGGGCAGTTTGTGGCTGCCAAGCTGGGTGCCTCTCTTGGCCTGTGCCTCCTCCTCTGGGCTGCTGGGTGATGCTGGCTTTGGTGGCCACACCAGTGTACCAGGAGATGCCAGTGGCTGCAGGGCCATCCAGTACTGTCCAAGAGGCAGTGGGTTCTGGAGCACCCCTGGGCAAATTCCTCCCCACCGCTCCGTGCCTCAGTTTCCCCGTCTATACAAGGATCACCGCACAGCTGGGCCCTGTGACAACACACTTGAACGCAGGGGACTGATGTGGCACGTCCTGCGGTGGTGGCACTGCCCTGGGCTCTAGGGCACCTGGATCTGCAGGTCCTCATCCTCGTCGGGGTCGCTGGTGCCGTCGCCGGTGTCGTCGGGGCCGAAGCGGGCGCTGCGCATCTTGCCGAACAGCGGGGCGCTCTGCTGGCGCCGCAGCCTGCGGGGACAGCTGCTGGGCTGGGGGCAGCATGGCCCTGGGGGCCTGCATTGCCCTGCATCCCCCCTACAGCATGGCTGCACCCCAGACATCCCTTCCTGCAGCCCTCGCTAAGCTCGGAGCTCCCGCGCAGCCTGGGGCCAGCCTGGAACTGAGAGCTGTGGATGGGGCACAGGCTAAACCCCTCCATGGATGGACATCCCTGTCACAGACAGGACTGCAGAGAAGGGAGGTGCCATCCCCCTAAACTGAGGAACCCTCAAAAACCCCAGGAGCCTGGGGTGGTTTTAGCTCTTTACTTGCCCTGTGGTGGTTTTAGCTCTTTGCTTGCCCTTGTGTGAAAATTCATCAAGGAAATTTTATGAATCAAAATTTGAAATCTAAAGGCCAAGGATCCAGTGAGATCCAACCAGTCCACCACACTTTACTGGAAAGCATGAATTATTTAGGGTTGATTGCACAGGGAGTCTGAGGGGGGTGATGAATCCTCCATTATGCTTCCCTGATTTAATGCAGATGTCCCAATAAAATAAAGGATGATTATAAACACCCCCCAGTGCCTCCTGGAGCCACGGCATCGATCCCACGGCCATTTCAGCTCTTTACTGCTGGAGAGGCAAAGCAGGGCCAGGCAAAGTTGTAAGGGCAAGAAAACTCAGCTCCCACCTCCCCAAACTGGTGTGGTATGCCAGCAGCCTGCCCTGGCCGTGGGTACTAGTGGGTGCAACCCTAAGCAGCATAAAACCGAGCTGTGCTGGTCTCTGGGCAAACTTGTGCTGGTTTAACTGGGAGGTGAATGCCACCCAGCTCAAGGTGGGGTGAAGACTGCTCAGAGGATGGCTGTGCCCCTTCCAAGGATGTCAGAGGCACTTGGGTTGAACCAGGCAGATGCTGGCTGAGGGATGGTGGCAAGGAGAACATCATCCCATCCTGGCTGGTGCCCACGTGGCTCACCCAGCCCCTGCTCACCGTGACTGCAGGTGCTCCAGCTGCACCTGGAAGCTCTCGCTCTGCTCCGTCTGCTCGTCCAGCGACCGCTGCAGCTTCCGCGTCTGGTTGTGGGCCTCATCCAGCTGGGGGGTGGGATGGGATGGGATGGGATGGGATGGGGTGGGGTGGGATGGGATGGGATGGGATGGGATGGGATGGGATGGGATGGGATGGGATGGGATGGGATGGGATGGGGTGGCATGGCATGGCATGGCATGGCATGGTGCTGTTAGCAGCTGTGTAGGGAGCAGAACAGCTCCCTGACCTCCTCCACCAGCATGAGCTTTCCCACCTCATCCTCAGCCTGGGCCAGCTCCTTCTTCAGCTCCTCCACCCTCAGGCGCAGCTTCTTCACCTCTCCCTCGTGCTGCTCCACGCGGCGGTTGGCGTGCGCCAGCTCGGCCATCTTCTCCTGGTACTGCTTCTTCAGCTTGGTGTGGATGTGCTTCAGGTCAGCCAGCTCCTGTGGTGGCCATGGGGAGGGGGCTGAGCATGGGACAGCCACCCCCACCACTGGGTGTCCCCTCCTTCCTCCCCAGGGGTCTCTCCCATTGCCACACCCCATGACCCAGGAGCTGATGGGGTCACCACCATCCCTTGAAGGGTGGTGGCAAAATTTGGGCTTGAGGGAGTCCTTGGGGAGGCTGAGCCCCACAAGAGAGTCACCCAGGGATGCGGTGGTGGGGGACAACACCCCTGTGGCACCTTGTTCTTCTCGAAGAGCTCAGCCTGGATGGTTTTGAGGTCAGTGTCCAGGGCACTGGCTGTCTGGCGCCGCTTGCGAGCCAGCACCTCCTCCAGGTCCTCGATCTGTGCCCGCAGCTTCTTGTTCTCCCTCTCCAGGTTGAGCTTCTCCGTCTCCAGCCGCTCCCGCCGGCCCCACTCAGCCGCGTTCTCTGCCTGCAGCCTCTCCATCTGGGACAGGGCAGGGGGTGGCTGGGGGGCAGCAGGACCCCCCTCTCTGCCCCCTTTGTCCCCAGGCTGGGGTCTGGCCTCACCTCTGCACGCAGCTCAGCCAGTTTCTTGTCCATGCTGGAGCGAGCTCCCAGCTCATCCTCCAGGTCCTCGGAGATGCGCCCCAGCTCGTCCTGGTGAATCTCCTTCAGGATGTTGAGCTATGGGGGGACGTGGCACCAAAGGGGGCTGTGAACATCCACCTTCCACCTGAGCCCTGCCCACACACATCCACCCAACCTCTATGGCTGAACCCACTGCATCAATAGCACTAATGAAAACCCTTAACAAGCAACCTGGAGATGGGGAAGTGGCTGTGGGCCACCATGCCCATCAGGATGTGCCACCCTGTGAGGGACAGGCCACCCCCTGGGGCAGCTCTGTCCCCAGGCACCTTGCTCACCTGCTTCATCACCTCCTGCTTGTTCTTGTTGAGCTCCTCATACTTGATCTTCCACTGACTGAGCTCGCCCTCCAGCTTCTCAATGTTCTTGCTGAGCGCCAGCTTGTCCCTGGGGAGAGGCAGTGAAAGTGACAGCCTGCAGGACCCCATGGGACGTGCCACCCCAGTGGGCACCAGGCTGGCATCAGCTGGCACCCTGCAAGGATGATGCCCCAAGCACTCACTCCCTCTCCTTGAGTAGCACTTTTTGGGACTCATCCAGCCTGAGCTTCAGGGCGGTGACTTTGGTGGCGTCCTCCTCCACGGCGCTGACGTCCTCCCAGAGCAGGCGGC